ATAATAACACAACAGAATGCACGAAATAAAAAAAGAACAATAATAATTTGAAGGCTAATTTTCCCACATGAAGGAGAATAGGTACAGTGGGGCTGTAGCATCAGTAATGCTCAAGAAAAATGCTGGATAGATGTGAGCGGTCAGCGTGTATTCTATTTTTGTAAAATAATTCACATGCCTATCTATAACGTTGTTATCAAAAACAAGCTGAAAGCTAAATGGAAATTCTTCCCACTGTCCAAACTGTTTTACGTTTTGCCATTAGACAGACAGAAAATTATAGAGAATGTGTTGCGACAAAGTTGTCGTCTCGCACTAATTCGCCAGTTGAGATTCTAGTGTCTTCCCATTGCACAGGTTTATTGGTCATGCCGGTTGCGTCTTCCTTACGGCAGGAGAAGGCAATGTGTGATAGTTCTGAGTATACATGAAGCGGCATATGAATTTCAAGATCATTCAGTTAAGATTCGTTGAAGTAGCTACAAAATGAGCATTGATGTGAACCATTTCAACCGGATTCAGGACTCTGAGAGCATTTTCTCTGAATACTGGAGAGAATTATAATGCCATATAAATGAGATTATCACAGAGTTAGTTATAAAGAATTCTATCTTTTGGGATACAAAGCAACGTAGTGCATTGAAAGTCAACCAAAGTTTCGTACATGTTCTTCTGAAACGTCGGTTGGTTTTAAACGGACTATATGGTGTTTTATGTCCCTGACGACAGAAGGTTTTGATATCACTGCCGCTCACTAAAATTAAGAACTAAACTTCTTGACATTTAGTCCGCAAGCGAACTATACCGACCGAGCGACCATCGCTTGTTGGCGAAGTTAGTGCCAACTTTAGCGGATAGAGGATGTCACTTGATCTGGGCAACGGATCCCCAAGGCCGTTAATTTCGGTTTTCTAGACCGGAACTGCTACTTTTCCATTCAAGTAGCTCCTCAATTATCCTCACGAGGCTGAGTGGACCCAGTTCCAGAACCACTACTTCTCAGAAAATCTGGTAGCGCCGGGAATCGAACCCGAGACCTCTGGATCTGTAGCAAGAAACTATGACCACTAGACCACTGTCAACCAGTGATGTGACATATGATTGAGAATATTTCGTTATGTACGAGTATATCCATATGAAATTTCATGTGTGATATTATGTTGAATAATAAACTCCTGTGCCCTATCTTCACTCTTCGTCATAATTATGTACTTAAGGCTTTATATCGGTCAAAATAAAGTTAAACTGTAAAGAGACGAACAAAAGAAATTCCGTTTTCTTGACACAGCTTAACACAAAGCGATCTAATATAAAAACAACTGAACAAGAGAATGGGCTCCGTATTTCCAGAGACGCTTAGCATACATGACGGAAAATTATCTGAAACAAAAATAATTATCGTACACGTTAAATCTTGGAGCTGCTGTTCAATAGAATTAGTTCCAGTGCTTTTCAAAATGTTTATGAAAGACGAAGTCGAGTGGCACATCTTTTAGCTTAGTTTTTTCTATCGCTGTTTCCTCCTGCAATTCAATTCCTACTGTAATTACCAGCAACAACGTTCCTGGAGATATTTCTGTCTGAGGAGAACAAGTACTGCCGTCTATTGCCGGTGCTCGCAACCCTGGCCTCTCCTGTTAAGGACGAAGTACGCACAGTGCTTGCTTTTAAAAGTCCCTAACGTGAAAAATTGCTCATTAGGCAGAGAGATTCTGAATGTCATTAAAAGACGAGAAGCGAGCAAACCTTGCAGAATGTAGACATCTTAACAGCAAGAAGTGCCGCTCAGTGCAGAAGTAGCTTCTAGCGAAATGCACGAGTATGGGACAAAGAAGACGCTTTCATTTGGAAGAATGCACCTTTCTTTCATGATGAAAAGATTTTTTAATCTCTTTATTTTGGGGATGGGTGGATCTAAGGGTCATTTCTTAACAAGCGCCTTAACGTCTTTTCATCCTTAAGACCTATTAATAAGTCAGTTTTTATTACATTTCATTCTATTCTAAAGAGGTATAATCACATGATAAGTGTTTTTGAATGAGATTATCTTGGATATTAATTCATCTTTCTGCCTGAGATATATAAATATTTAAATAGTTTAAACTGATACTTGTGAAAGCATGGAGGTCATGCTGTACCGCATTTGAGATAGTGTGCTGAGATACACCTAACCACTTTACACCCGAGAAGACAAGGGCCAGTACCCATTGAAGAGGAAGCCGGGTGGAATCTCACAAAGCATGTCTCAGAGCTTTGTAAAAGGCAAAAATACGTTGCCTCTACCGGGAATGTAGCACCGAGTCCTGTGTCAACCAGCTTGTAGCCTATTCGTTTTATCGACCGAGCTGTCGTGGCTCTGCACCCGCGTTATGTCAACAATGAACACATCTTCATTCTAACGCTCGCGACGAGATATGGAGGCAGACAGCTAGGTCTGGCAACAGTGTAGAAGTTCCCAGAGATAAATCATTGCTCGAGCTAGCTAAAAAAGAAGAGTACGAGGACATTACTTAATGGGAAGAGTGCGCCTGATGGATGGGACAGCTGCTACACACGGGAAGCGAAATTAGCGTGTAGAAACAGGAGTTGTGTGTAGTCCACAGAGCAATTTATTTTAACGCGTCTTCGTTCATACAAATAACAATTATTTCAATGCTGTGCTTAAGGGTCGCATTGTAGTGACTATGAAGACTACGATGGTTAGGATTTGAATTTGGTAATTCAGCCAGTCACGGTGGCCGTGTCGTCTAAGGCACGAACTGCCTTCGGTCGCTCGAACACTGGAATCATGTGTTCGAATCCCACTTTTGTGTAATATCTGTTGACTTTCCATCTCATTTTGCCTTTCAGTTTCTTATACTACACAAACAGAATGTTTCAAGCCACAGAATGAGGGCGAGTATTTCCGAACACAACTTCGCGAGTACCTCTTCCGAAACTGGCTGACTAGATGTAGCGGAAGGTACGAGGGGTAAGACCGAATAAGTAGGCGGCCTACCTGCGGTGTTACGTGGTTTCCTCTTATTGTGAACCTTCTGTATATATCAGGAAGTGAGCAGTGAGTTTGAAATGAAACAGATATGAAACGAACAGAAGAGAAAGGTGCTGTCTAGAAGGGACAACCATGTGGTTGAGGAAGAGAGGACTTTCGAAGACTTTTCGGTGTCTGCTAGTCAGGAAGAGAGGTGATAAAATGCATTGAGACTTCAGGAGAGGAGATGAAAGAAGCGTTTCTAGTCACCACCTGGATCTGAGAAAAGGTGACGAAAGCCCTGACCTCAAAATATCTCCCATCACCTCTCGTCACTGCCACATGGTGGCTAGAAACATTTCCACCATCTCCTCCTCAGAACACCAAGCCGAAAAATCTTACCATAAATTCCTCATGAACACCAGGACTAAAAGTGGTAGTCACCTCTTTCCCTCTTCACACACAAGTGGTTACTGAAGGCCCCTAAAACTGCCTCGCATCTTCGAAGGAATCCCTGCGAAACACGCTAAGTTCGTCAGCCGAAATCGAAGCAGCCATATTCTTTTTCTCGTTTTCGAGAGCTACAGCAGTGCGAGGTGTGTTCCTGCACACTTTGCTCTTAGTTTCTCCCATAAATAAAAGGTATGAAGTCCTGCTATCTTGGAGGCCACAATCTTGTCCTAATGATCCTGTGATCGAACATTTATTGTAGGTGAACTCATTGAAATTCGTGTACAGTACGCAGTAGCGTTGCCTCGTTGAAAGTAGCCATATTGTCTTTGGTCGCCAGTCAGCTTTTCGAAAATCGGTTGTAATACCGTATTTACGCATGTATAGGCCGCGTGCGTGTATAGGCCGCAGCAAAATTTTCAGACAGAAATTATAGAAAAAATAATTTTCTTGGAATATTATTTTAGGAGTAGAACATCCTGTATTACTAATTATGAATATATATTTTTTTAAATGAAGTGTGATTTCGAATATTTCGAATATAAGCCGCACCCCAGTTTTCCTCTTGAATTTTTGGCAAAAAATGTGCGGCCTATACATGCGTAAATACGGTATGTTGGTCTTAATTTACGGGTTCGTGCTAACATATTGGACAGTTAACTCCCCCAGCACTTACAGCACACCACACTCCAAACTTTATGTCGTTCAGAGGAATTTCGTGAAGTGCGTGGGGAATTTGGCCACGCCAGATTCGCGTGTTCTGAGAATTTACATAACCTCTTACGTGAAAGTATGCTTCGTCGGTTATGAAGAGCAGCTGAGGAACTACGAGTCCACCTTTAATATTTCCATCGTCCAGTTGCGAAACTAAGTTCTTTATGGAGCATCGATAGGTTTAAACTCATGCACACCTCCAACTCCATATGAACGAAGCTTTTTTATTTTAGTTGCCTTAGAAGCAGATACTACAGATAAGAGTGTCTTTAGTGATAATCGTCTTAGAGATTTCCGAGAAGTAATCTGTAACCCAGCCAGTATATCTTCAAGTTTCTCATCTCTAAGTTGCGAGAACGTGTTTTATCAAGCAATGACTCGGTGGTCCGCGACTTTTTAATAAATGTGAACACAACATTTTGTAGTCAAGGGTGAATCCGTGTATCTGTGTATGAATCTTCCCTGAAATTCTCTTTCATATGTACGTTTCAACAATAAATATTCTCTGATCAGTAATGTATATTATTGATGATAACAAGATAAACATTTGAACTAGGCACGTCGGTTCAACTTCCGCCTATGTCTTCCGAAACTGACTGACTAGAGCTAGCGGAAGGTACGAGGGGTTAGGCCGAGTAAGTAGCTGGCGTACCTGTGGCGCTACGAGGCGAACGCCCTGTATATATATAAGGTCTGAGGCCCCCTACACAGGCCCTATCCTGAATATGTGAACTTCAATATTAACCAAAGCATTGGAATATCTAAACATCCTCAATGCCATATTTCCGTGAGCTGAAATCATAGTGTAAAACAAAAATGACGTTTTCCGAAAAGTACGCCTTATATTGATGGAGCACTTGCTTACCTGGGAGCCTCACCTAGTGACCCAGAGGCCGATTGCAGGCAGCAGAAGACCAGGCATAAGGCATGCCCAGCGCGTGGCCACAGAGGACTCCTGGCGTTGTATGGCCGCTGTGTTGTCCCCTGAAAACACAAAGCAAAGTTTTCAGACAAAGAGCAGACTTATCTGTACCGAAGTTTCTTTCAGCTTTGTGGGGCTTATCGCTCGCCAGTTCCGTGATTACCACGATCCCTGTTCCAGATAAACACCGGTCCGTAAATGTGACGGACAGACAATTCATTCCTGTGTCTGTTTGGACATTTGTAGTAACCTACCTTGACGAAGCATAGCTGCTGGACATTACTGCAAATTAATTTGATTCATTCTGGTCCGTCACACTAACAATAACAATTCCGTCTAGTGTGACTGGTGACTGCAATGGTTACTACAACTACGCATGCGTCAAAGTTGCCGCTATAATATGGTACAAGGAAATTAGTATTATTATCCGTTATTGTATTCCCAGCAGTATGTCAAGAGATAAGCCGTCACACAAACTTACATTCATAAACACTTTTGTCTTTTAGTTATTCTAGCTTTAACCTTAAATTGTCATCATCAGTTACATAAACAGATTTTTTTTCCTTGGCACTACATCCCCCGTGGGCCTAGGTCTACCTCCATGAACTTCTCCGTTCACTTCGGTTTTTCTAGATCTTACACATTCGGTAGGACTCCTTGGGCGGGTGATTAGCTCGTCGCAAGGCTTCTAACTGTACATAAACGCAGAAAAACGCACACAAACATCCATACCATGAGTGGGATTCGAACGCACGATCCCGGCTTCCGAGCGAGCGAAGACAGTGCATACCTTAGACCGCTCGGCTACCGTGACCTGCACATAAACAGGTTACTCGAATATATACGTACAAATTTGTTAACATGTGAACATATATGAAATTGTAAATTAGGTAATAATGTAATTGGGTTGATCATGAATTTTACGAAGACATGAGCACATTGTAACAGTATTTGTCCGAAATACGAGAACTCCCCAGTCTATGGAGTGCCTAAATTGGTACTCCATTTTCTTGTATTATCGCGTCATTTTCGTCAATCTGAGTTATCATTGCACAGGTTTTCTTTATAGAAAGAGACCGCTGAGAAATTTTAGTGTATGTAGTGACGTCAAGCTGATGCTGCAAAGGGAGAGAGATGATTTTGTAGATTTCACGGTTAATGGATGTGACGGGATTTTGTCTAGAGCAGTGGCGATACTATTCCTTCTGAAAACATTATCTGTCTTGCTGAATTTGGGTTTCTGACGGTGCACACTGTGAAGAACGCTCATCTGGATTTTAACACCCCGTAATTAGGTTAGATCGCGTCGTTTCGGGGGAACATATGACATCCATCTTAATGGTCGAAGAGTAAGTCAAGTAAGAAACTATCAGAAGCCGAGCTTTCCGCGTATATCCGGGATCTGTCTTCGTGTAGTTCGGAGAGTGCGCGACGTTTCTAAGTAACATATCGCCTCCATCTTCAGAGACGAAGAATAAGATAAGACAGCTGAGCTTATCATTTGCTTCTTCTGATTTTTTCTTATCCTAATATTGGATCCTGAAGATGGAGGCAGTAATTTCTCCGAAATTTTGTTTCTCTTCGAACTATATGACATTACACAACAGAACGTCGTAGTTTTAATAAGTGACCCCACTTCGCTTCCATTTTTAAAGTTACAGTGTAAAAAGTTTGATGATATATCATTATTAAATAAATATGTCCAATTTTTTAAATGAATTTTTGGTACAGAACAAAATCAATAGGCCGATCACAATGTGTACACGGTCTAAGGTATAGAATGTCTTCGCACGCTTGAACATTGGGATAGTGGGTTCAAATCCCGCTCGATGAACGGATGTACGTATTTCTGCATTTCTTCTTTGTTAATGTTGTCCTGTGTATGTTTGATTCCTTGTCCAAGGAATCCTGCCAAGTGTCTGTAAGATCCAAAGTTTCGGATTAATCATGAATGGGAAGAGGCAAGAAGGTTTAATCTGTTAAGAGGACAGAAATAGGATGAGGAATAAACAAATAAATAAATATATTTGCTAATTCTATAAGGCACACGGCAAATAATTTCAATCTGAACCGAATAGTGACCTCCATGCAACCTCCTATACAATGGGTACCGGGGGCTCTTACTTGGGGATAAGGCAGCCCGGACGTGAAGCTGACCACTCACCTCCAGCTTGTGCCGAGGCCAAGAAAATGTGGATCTATATATCCAACCACCATAAGACTTCGTGGCGTAGTGCTTAATGAGTTAAGCACAGGGACTTTACCTTTACCACATCGTGACCGCACTTCCGCGACATCAACCCTTTCCACGCACTTAATTAACAACCACTCCCTTCCCTAGCCTCTGGATCAGCTGGATGGACAACCAGACAGGACTAGTCGGAACTTCTGGTAAAGTGAGAATGCTTTTTCCAAGGTGTACACATCCAGTGAGGAGCCGGGATAGCGCAGTCGGTACAGCGTCTAGCTGCGGGCTGGACCACCGAGGGGTCGGAGTTCGAGTCCCCCGCCCTGGGGTCCACCCCATCTCCTCTCCAATGGGTACCGGTAGCTCTTAACCCAGGGGCTAAAGCGGCCACGGCGAGAAGCTTACCACTGGCCTCCAATTAGTGCCGAAGTCAAGAAAACGTGGATCTATACATCCACTCCCCCTTACGCCTTCATGGCGTAATGTCTGATTAGTTAGGCACTGTGACTACTTTACCTTTCGTATGCATCCAGTGTGCAGCTGATATATGCACTCCTCGTGACGTCATCTACACGTCAATAAAACTGAATACAGGTCTTAAACACCAATCCATGAACGAGTATAGGGAGAATGGAGGTGACGCTCCGAGCATTCTTAGCCTCTATGATAGTTGTTTTAGACACTGTATCAGCTGTGTGTTGAGATGCATTTGGTCCCTGGATACTCTATGTTTGCCCTGAATTTGACACCAGAATATGTTATTCTGTATTCTGGTTCATTCATTGGCCCCTTTTTTTCCTTGACACTACAGCCCCAGTGGGCCTAGGCCTACCTCCATGAATTTCTCCGTTCACTTCGGTTTTTCTAGATCTTACACATACGGTAGGACTCCCTGGGCGGGTGATCAGCTCGTCACAAGGCCTCTACCTGTACACAAACACAGAAAAATGCACACACAGACATCCATGCCTTGAGTGGGATTCGAACCCACGATCCCGGTTTCCAAGCGAGCGAAGACAGTGCATGCCTTAGACCGCTCGGCTACCGTGACCGGCCTCATTTGCCCCATAAATTTCTATAATCACATAGCGCCGAGTGCTTGAACAATTCCTGAACAGTCGGTTGAAAAATACGTGATACTGTGCGGTCTTAACGCCGATCACAGTGGCCGCGCGGTATGAGGCATGAACTGCCTTCTCCCGCTCGAACGCTGGGATCGTGTGTTCGAATCCCACTCAAGGCATGGATGTCTGTGTGTGCATTTTTCTGTGTTTGTGTTGTCCTGTGTGTAGGTAGCGGCCTTCTGACGTGCTGATCACACATCCAGGGAGTCCTACTGTCTGAGAAAAATGATTACGAAACTGAAGAAGAGGCCAGGGCCGAACAAAGGCTGCAGAGCCTAATTTAACGTAATATCTCGACAAATTTTTGGAGGGACTGAGATAAACCATGGAGTCGCGATACCGATAACCGGGATGAAGGCGATAAGTTCTGCCGAAACGTCCATAAGATCTACATGACGCCACATCCCAGAAGGCGGCAATCTTCATAGTCACCGCTGTGAAAACCTCAAATCTTACATAACTACGTTTCTTTGACAACATTGCTCGTAACACATCAGTAGCGAATGACACTCCGATCACTGTAAAAGAGACGCCTCAAAGTGCCAAAAGGGCGAGAAGGACATGCGTTTTGGCACCTCAGATCTCCGCACTATGTGATTGCGACTTCTACTTACGGGGATAAGTGAAAGACCAAGATACCAAACTTCGATGCCACGTTTTTTCAGTAGCGAAATTCACAGCCCAGAGACAAAGTTAATCCAGTGTTGCGTGTTACGAAAAAGTTGCGGCCATTACCTAGCAACGGCTGTTGTATAGCGGCTTATTTCGCGGGCGTTACGTAGCAACGGGTCTCCATTCCATCCTACGCATAAAAATACGCGTACAGCTGTCCGTGTAATGGATGCTCACATCAGCAGAAGAATGGGGAATTGAAGGCATGGCTCCACGCATTCTTAACGGCCCACACTGTATGGAAATGAATCCAGCCGCTTCAGAGAGCCCCGGTACGTATCGGAAAGGAAGCTGGGAGCACCAAGAACCAGTCACTGCTTTGCAGTAAAAACAACACTCTTTCCTCAGAAGGAACCCCTATATCTCGTTCTTCAAGCCCGTTGGCTAGGCGTTATACCGACTAAGCTATCGCGACCCGTACATGCATAACCAACCCGATGAGGTGTGTGCTAAAGGAGAATTTGGTGGGGACACGTCAGTCCATGTGACGACTCACCGATTTCCGCTTAGGCTCACAGTGACAAACGAAACTAGCTACAATGTCAAAGAGAATCAGCTGGAATGTATTGATGGTACTGGTATTCGCAGCGCATGACGGAAATGAGCAATTGTGTGGGAAAAACGATAACAAAAATAACATACACACGTAAGCCTTTCGGGAGTTAACAACAGTCAAGGGGGACAGCAAACAAGGTTATTACATATTTACGGAGTAATCACTTTTTTTTTGACGTGCAGACGAAAAGGACTATTTCATGCATTTATATAATCGTATTCGATGTTGATATTCATGTTCGGGAGAAGGGTATGTTATTAAAATATTTACACGTGTAACAGTCCCCTTCAGCCTGTAGACTGATGCATGAGTACAGTTCACGGCGTAACAAAGCAGTAAAATTTGGAAGCCGCGTTGTCCCAGCCACCAAACGCACTAAAGCTCAGGATAGAACAGCAGAGATCTCTTGGTGTCTGTCACACCAAACAGGTGTATTGGGGGAGTGGAGATAAAGCCCTAAATGGAGGTTCCCACTCAGCTCATAAAAAGATGCTATATTTTTCATTCTGTAGGAGGCTGCTT